ACGTGCCACCGCGGCGTGGGTGCGCGAGCGGCCGCCGCCGCTTAGATCCGCCCGACCCACCGCGATGAGAGGCGAAGCAGCGCCAGCGATGACGACAGTGCACGAAGGCGGCGGCGCATCCAAGCGGCGCTAGGGTTGGTACACCATTTATATATGTGTTCAAAGGCTAAGCACGACCGGATCTCGGGAAGAAGGTAGGGGGGGGGAGGCGGGAGGGCGGCACTGGCGCGCCGAGGAAGAAGGGAGGGAGGGAGGGGCGGGATCCGGCGGAGGATGGGCGGTGCTTGTGCGGGAGGAGGGAGGGGAGTGGGGGGCTGAGGAGGGAGGGAGGTGCGGCGGGGAAGAAGAAGGGGAGGGAGGGGAGCGTCCGTGCGTGAGGAGCCAAGCGGGCGAGTCAGCGGTGGGTTAGGGTTAGGACTTCTCGGTTTTTTCCCGTACGTGTGTATATTTTTTTCTGTGTGTTTTAAAATAATCGACAGAATAATAATATTTTTTCTGTGTATATATATTTTTTCTGTGCATTTTTAAAGAACCGACAGAATAAGTTTTATTTTTCTGTGGGTGCTGATTTTTTCCGTGTGTGTATGGTCACGCACAGAAAAGTCATACAATTATTCTGTGGGTTTTCGTATTTTTCTGTCGGGATATTTTGAAACCCACAGAAAAATGCGTACAAAAAAACGCACAGAAAAATTCGTCACCCACAGAACAATTCGAGTTTCCAGTAGTGAATATAAGATTCAAAATTGTGTAGTTAAAAGAATAACATCATGTCAATTGTATAGTCACAAGTTTTGTGTAGCTCAACAAGTATGGATGCTTGAGAGAACCTTGAGGTCTTGAGTTCAAATCCAGTAATTTGGCATACTGTTTTATCATTCCTAATTGACAGGAATATAGATTTTGATGAGAAATGATTCTGCAAATGATGATTTAGAAAGTGGTTTTAAAAAAAACTATACGATGATTTAGAAAGTGCGTATAAGAAAGACTCTTGGAGATTCTCTAAAGCGGTTGATCAAATAGTCCTGACTAACCGCCGGCACAAGGAGAAGCACCGGTCCCTCTCGCAGAAGCCCCTCCGGCCTTGCCTCCTACTACGGCTGCGGCGCCCTGCTACAGACGGCGGAGGAGGCCGCACTAGGTATGTTGCAATTGTATTTTTTAAGTGTTTTAAATATTTCAGAGGTATGTTGCAAGTGTTTTGTATGGATGTTGCAAAAGTAGATCGAGATGTTGCATATGTTGTAATGGGTGTGTGCACGTATGTTGCAAACCTTTGTTCCCAATGTTTCATCTGTTTTTTATATGTATATTGTAAGTGTGTTTATCTGGATGTTGCATATATTTCACACATATGTTGCAAATATTTTATCTGAATGTTGCGTATGTTTACAATGGTTTTCAAGTGTTTTCAGGTGTTTTTGCAAGTATTTTTAGACGTATGTTTCAAATGTTTCACCTGTCTTCAGACATATGTTACAAGTATTGCATATAAATGTTTTAAAAGTAGATCGGGGTTGCACATGTTGCAATGTGACCCGCTTGCTGTAGCTGCTGGAGGGGGGGGGGGCAAAGGGTCGAGTGGAGCGCAGACGCCGCATGGGGTTAGGTGGGGCGCAGACGCCGCGTGGGGTCGGGCGGTACGTGCAGTGCTGGCGTAGGAATGGGGTGCAGGCGTGGGCGCTAGCACTACTGTATTTGTGAACTTATCAATTTCTCGATTATTTTTTCATAAATATATAGTCTCTCTCCATTGCACTCCATATGTCTACAATGTATTTTGCTTAGACCTTAGCTTAAGTTGATGACTCTTGTAGTGGGAATCATAAATCTAGATTTGACTTCTTAAATTTTAATCATATTAGTCGATACAAATTTTGTATCCACATGCCCATTGTAAATTGTTACCTTTACTATACATTTTGTTCAAAACTCTCATTTTGTATTTTATCAAAATAACGATGTTATATCCAGACACTTCAATTATACGATTATGACATAAACGGTCGTTTACACCTGCTCCGTGCCTTATGAGATTGACAATGGAGTTTAAAGTAAGATCCGGAAACAGCTAACAATACTATCCTTAAGAGGGATGTTAATATGAAGCCCAACAACCACTAATTTAATCAAAAAAAATATAACCAGGCAACGGAGGAGAGTATGGCATATTTGTTACCTTTATTATATGTTGTATTCAAATGCGTCATTATAGCCCTTCGGCGACAATGTCTGCGTCTATCTACGTCCGACGACTATGATAGCCAAAATGGCTGCTTCCACTACTATGACTACTTCGGCTACAGAGAGCACTCCCCACAAGGTGAAGACCCTCACAGCAGCAGAGATAAGCAGGAGCGAGATCATCAACCTCTGCAATAAAAAATTCATCATCGTATCATGGCCTCCGACCTTCGCCGTCAAAACACCTCCTGCTCTAAGGACGCCTACAGAAGCCTGAGATAGACTAGAGAATTGTACTCTTAGGTCTTTTTTTGTATTATTGTAGCAACTAGGTTTTGTTGTACCAAAGCCTAGTGGCTAAGGAGCTATTGTTGGACATAAGGTCCGGAATTTCTAGTGCACATGGGCCTAATTTTCGTCTGGGCTTACTTGTTCTCCACAGCACTGAATGCCAAAAAATTACCCCAGATAGGCCTGAAATTCAAGTACCAGCCCCTCAAAGCCTTATTTTCTTCTTTTTCACTTCCAATTTCACCCTTTTAAGCGCTAACTCATCCCAAACGCACCAAACAAATTGGAGCATTAGAGTTAGCATCTCACAAAGATTTTTCTAGGGTTTCTCATGCACCTCACCATGTCACTAAGCACAATGCATATGCACATGAAACTCACACTTAGTGGCACTAGATAAACATATAGTGAAAGATTTACTACCCTTTTTATAGTATGACTATCTATCCAAAACCCGGTCTATCTCTTATGTACTCAACTTAGATCGGTGAAATATACCTTCGCTTTGCACCTTCCATTTCATCTCAATCCTAGGTGATGCCACAAAACACCCAACCTCCATCAAGCCACTTGTAATCAACACAAGTATTCCATGGCTTGATACCTTGTAGATGATATGATCCACTTCATATCATCACTTGGCCTTATTGGTTCACTTATTGCAACTTTGCTTGCTCTTCACCATTGCAACAGGCCCAGCGGCGCGCTTCACCGCCACACAGTCCATCGCACCCGAGCCTCTGACTTGCCCTTCACACTAACAACCCGGTCATTCATTGCCAAGGCATGTCTCTTGATCTTATCTACCTAGAAACATGACACCATGTCATGTCTCATATGCAATGAGCTGCTTCTATCAACAACTAGTTGAGCACTATCAACAACTCCAAGCCATTTCACCACCATGTCACAAGTTTGTTACACTAGTGCACATGTGGACTAATCACCTGTGTATCTTACATCAAACGCATATTAGTCCACCTAGGTTGTCACTCAATTACCAAAATGAAACTAGAGCTTTCAGTGGCACCGCATCTAGTTCATCCGCCCCGTTATCTTGCTTGTCACTGTCATTGGTCAGTATACCGTCCCATACAGTTCTTCCTCTAATCCCAAAGATGATATGAAGACTTCTTGAACCCAAACCCTAAACTCCAAACCATACCCTAGCTAAACCCTTGCCAGAGATCTTGACCACTCACCTGAGATGGGGAAGCTAAATGTGTAAATCAGATGACGGGACTTCATCACGGAGTATAATTGGGTGGTCTGCAAATGCTGGAGGCATATAAAACGCTTCTTTTCTACTATTTTCTATGTTTTTTCTATTTTGAATCAACATCAAAATTTCCCACGTGTTGTGTCTATTCTTCATCTTCATTTTAGAAACTATGGAGTTAAATATAATAGTGGTCCACAAACTTATCTTTATGCGCCACTTAGATCCACATGCCATCCATGCAGCGGTTGAAACTTGCCATTTACCACCATCTGCACGGGACCCTATCCCTAAAATCGTGGTCACGACTCGATAGCATCCGCCAAGTGTCACCAAAAGCTGTACAGAGAGGTCAATGGATGAAAGAAGAGAAACATGATCTAGATGACACATGGATTCCATGGGTCAGTCTCATCAACACCGTCACGCCACGTCAATTGCCACGTATTGACACGGGCAACATGGACCCGTGGTGTACCATTGGACAAGTCTAGTGGCCCAGAACGTTTTCAGAGTTCGTAAACCTAAATGACATATAGTGAAAAATTTATGGGCAAATAGTATATCTGACTCAACATTATAAACCTAGGAGTACGTAGGTGGATATTTTAACAAGAAAAAATTACACTAAAATTTTCTGGAGGGCTTGAACATATATAAGGTCGGTCCTTCGTCCATAGCCTCGACGGATAACTGAGAGGTGGAAGGATGCAAATAATATAATGGCGATTTGGTTTTTGAGTTTCGCGTTTAGTTTCTTGTGAGTGTTCCATGCATCATGTAAGAAGTTTATTGAGAACTGAAAAAACAGTGCCTGCCGGCCATCTACCTTTAGTATTTCAGCTTTGCTTATCTCCTAAAAATCTACAAGAAGCTACATATACTTTGAGCAGATGTTTCTCTTCTTACATAGCTCTTCGGCTCGCGAGCGTGTGTTCTAGAAAAAAAAAAAGCTCAGGTAGATGAACAATTGGATATGGGTGTGGCACATGCGTATGCCTGAACACAGGACAGAAAATCTCATAACGGTTTAATTATACAGAAACCATTTCTATTCCAAGCTTCAAATAGCTCTACAACAAAAAGCATCATTATTCTGCTGATCGATCGCAGATTTAGTCTTACTCTTACATATATATATACTACTCCTGAGTCCTCTGACTACACAGCCAATGACTTCCATCAAAAATAATGGGTCAATGACTGCACGAGCTAATAACAGTCACCGGCAATTAGTAGCAACTATAAGTACAGAAGTGGCATGCAAGAGGGAATTGTTGTACACTAGCTAGGTACAGTACATCTACAAGCGGTGGTGGCCGGAGGAGGCAATGCCATCGTCGAAGTTCTGGTAGTAGCTATGCAGGTCATACCCGAACCTGACCGCGCTTCGCCTCGGCCGCGCCACGCGTCTCATCCAAGAGCGCCTCAACCTCGACAGCAGCTGCTTCACCGCCGCAGCAGACCGGCGGCCACCGCTACTGGCGTGGACCCTCCTGCCCCGGCCGCTGCCCCCGGTGTACAGGCCTAGCAGAGACGGCGCCATACGAATGCTCACTCGATTCTCACAAGTCACTGACACTCTCGTCGCAACTGTCGCAACTAACTAGCTGAGCTTTGCTCTGAGTCCGAGCTGGAAGTAGGAGTATCTGTTGTGTGCTGCAGCTGTAGCTTCTGAAGATGTGCAAAACGAAACCTCACATGCCGCAGCTTTATAGGCTCGGATGGTGGGAGTATTCCGACACGCGTCGATCGACGACGGCACCCGGACCACCAGCACGCACTCGCGTACATGGTGACGACTGACGAGGCATCCACTACGGCGATCATCGGAAAGTTCCAAGTAAAATCCAGCTTCATGTATGCATCTTTTTGAAGCCGCCGTCGTGCAGTCGAAGGAAGAGCTTCTAACCACTAGTAGAGAACAGACCTTTGATACTTGATCAAAATAGGTTCTAGTCCTGGAATTTTGATACTCGATCAAAATAGGTTCTAGTCCTGGAATTTTTTGCGCCCGGGACTAGAGATATCGTTAGTCCTGGTTGGTGGCTCCAACCGGGACTAAAAGTCCCTGCCCAACGGCTACTGCGCCAGACAGAGGTGGCAGGGACCTTTAGTCCCGGTTGGAGCCATCAATCGGGACTAAAGATATACTTTTACTCCCGGTTGGTGGCTCCAACCGGGAGTAAAGGTCTACTCCCGGACCGTGACTGCGCCCGGGGTTAGAAAATTACCTTTAGTCCCGGTTGGAGCCACCAACCGGGACTAAAGGTCTCCCCTTTATATCCCGGCCGTCTCCTTCCTCCCCGAGCCCGAGCTCAGCATATTTTGAAGCTCACTGCAGTAGTGTTCTTGCTTCCTCCCTCCCTCCATTGTTCCTCCATCCATTCTTCGATTCCTCCATCGATTTCTTCGATTTCTCCGTCAATTCTTCAGTTGTAAATGTTACCAATCTCATACTCTCATTTTCACTATTGTCTTATCTCATTTTGTTCACTATATATATATATGGTTTTTTATTGTGGTTTTTTTCATTTGTAAGCAATTTGAGCTCAAAATCACTTCAAGCTTGCATATTTACATGAAAGAAGGTTAAAGTAGCTAGTTGAACTTGCGGACCGTGTTCATCTCGGCGACCATGTTCTCTGCCGAGCGGTAACGGACGTCAAGGAGGAGCTTTGATTCTACGAGGGAGAGCGACAACGGTCGTGGAAGACCGTGTTCCCTTCCTCGTAGAATCGGAGCTCTTCCTTGACCAAGTACGGTGCCGTCCGGTGGAGAAATGCTCACCGAGATGATCACGTAAGCAAGTTCAACTAGTACGGATGGTTATTTATTCACATGTCCCGATATCGTCGCAGTAGTCTGTCAATCACCGTACTTTTTATTTTAACTTTCTATGAAATGAAAAACTTAGAAAATAGTTAGAAAATTATAGAAAATCCGTACTAGTTGAACTAGCGGACCGTGTTCATGTCGGTGAGCATGTTCTCTGCCGAACGGTAACGAACGTTAAGGAGGAGCTTTGATTCTACGAGGGAGAGCAACAACGGTCGTGGAAGACCGTGTTCCCTTCCTCGTAGAATCGGAGCTCTTCCTTGACAAGTACGGTGCCGTCCGGTGGAGAAATGCTCGCCGAGATGATCACGTAAGCAAGTTCAACTAGTACGGATGGTTATTTATTCACACGTCCCGATATCGTCGCAGTAGTCTGTTATGTGTGTACACTCCCATTCTTCTGTTAATTTGCGGAAATATCATGTGAATTACTTACCTGTCGCAGTAAAAGACGAGAACACAATGACCATTAAAAAAATCATTGTTTAGAGATCTAGATAATTTTATAGTTTCTTAATTTTATTTGTTTATAAAAGGAGAAATTTATAGTGTATTAAAAAATGAGTATAGAGAGTAGATGTCAACTGCTTCCGGGTCCTCGGCCTCTCATGGATTTCCAAAGCGACTTAGGCCGGGCCTTCCTCTCATTCCATGCGGCAAGTGTCGTGATGAGACGAAGATTGTGATGGAGTACCGAGTGAAGAAGGAGGGTCCCAACAAGGATCGTATCTTCTACAAGTGTCCGGATCGCAATGTGAGTTATTTTATCGTATTTAATGATTATGGTTAGTTTATACCTATTTTCATGATGGTTGTGATTAAAGTTCTAATTTTTTGTTTTAATTTCAATGGGATGGCGGTGGGCGATGTTCGGGCTTCTCTTTGGGAGGAAGAGTATGTTGAACTCAGACAAAAATATCTTGCACTGTGAAGTGAATCACGGTGGCTAATGAGGCGTTGATCCAGCCAAGAAGCCCAAAGATGTGTCTCATGAAGTTGAGATTGGTCGCGAAATCCTTATGCTCCTGAAATGTATTTTAGCTTTAGTTCTTTTAGTGGTAGTTGGGATTGTCTACATTGTAGCGATTCTTTCATAAATTTATACCTTTTGTGGTGGCACGCATGTTGTATAAATAAATAATTATGATCTAGGTTTTAATATGATATTTATGTCATGTAATGCAGATGAGCCGTCATTGGATGTATAATGCTGATCGCCGCTCCCAAGAGTTCATTGACGGTGCATTTCTTTGTTACGTCGGCGCGAGGCAAACAAACGCGATGGTTTCATGTGTTGTCCATGTGCCATATGTAAGAATACGGTGGAATATCCTTGCTCAAGGACTCTTCATTCACACTTGTTCAAGTCGGGTTTCATGCCAAACTATATTTGTTGGACAAAGCACGGAGAAACCGGTGTTGTAATGGAAGAAGGTGAAGAAGAACAATGGGGCGACAATGATATTATTCCCGATGGTGCGTGCTTCAATGATACTTGCAATGGGAGAAGTCAAGAAGAGGTAGCCGCAGAAGATGAGCCGGTGATGATCTTTCTCGTGTCATTCGTGACGCACAAAGAGAATGTGAAAGTGAAAAGGAGAAGATCAAGTTCGAAAGGGATGCTAGAAGATCACAAGAAATTGTTGTACCCAACTTGTGATGCAGGCGTAAAAAGTTGGAAACCACACTAGAATTGCTGCAATGGAAGGCAAAGAATGGTGTATCGACAAGGGATTTGGAGAGTTACTAAAATCCAAAAGAAGATGCTTCAAGTACAATGAATTGCCCGCCACTACCTCTGAAGCAAAACAAGTTGTCTCATCCTATGGGGCTAGAAATAGAGAAGATACATGCATGTCCTAATGATCGCATCCTGTCATCGTGGCAAAGAGTACGAGAAATTGGATGCATGCCCGGTATGCCATGCGTCGCGGTATAAGATCAGGCGAGATGACCCTGGTGATGTTGAGGGCGAACGTCCGCGTAAGAAAATCCCTGCCAAGATTATGTGGTATGCTCCTATAATACCACGCTTGAAACGTCTGTTCAGAAACAAAGAACATGCAACATTGTTACGATGGCACAAAGAAGACCGTAATGTAGACAATATGTTGAGACACCCTGCTGATGGGTCCCAGTGGAGAGCAATCGACAGAGAATTCCCGGAGTTTGCAAATAACGCAAGAAACTTAAGGTTTGCTTTAAGTACAGATGGTATCAATCCTTTTGGAGAGCAGAACATTAGTCATAGTACTTGGCCTGTTACTCTAAGTATCTATAACATTCCTCCTTGGTTATGCATGAAGCGGAAGTTCATTATGATGCCTGTGCTCATCCAAGGCCCGAAGCAACCTGGCAATGACATCGATGTGTACCTGAGACCACTTATTGACGAACTTCTCATTTTGTGGAATAAAGAAGGTGTACGTGTGTGGGATGAGTACAAACAGAACACTTTTTGATCTGCGAGCATTGTTGTTCGTAACAATCAATGATTGGCCCGCTCTAAGTAATCTTTCGGACACCAAACAAGGGATATAATGTATGCACACACCGCTTCAAATGATATTAGAGGTGTATTCTTGAAAAAATGTCGAAAGGTCGTGTACCTTGGCCATCGTCGATTTCTTCCCGCAAATCACCACAGAAGAAAGAAAGGCAAGCATTTTAAAGGGAAGGCGAGACCACCGACCAAGCCTCGCAACCGAACCGGTGAGGATGTACTCGATATGGTCAATGATGTGAAAGTCGTCTTTGGAAAAGGACATGGAAGCCAACCTATTCCGAAAGACGCTAACGGTCACGCACCCATGTGGAAGAAGTCTATATTTTGGGACCTACCCTATTGGCAAGTCCTAGAGGTCCGTAGCTCGATCGACGTGATGCACCTGACGAAGAATCTTTATGTGAACCTGCTAGGCTTTATGGGTGTGTATGGAAAGCCTAAGGACACATTTGAAGCATGACAGGACCTGCGTTGTTTGAGAGAAAGAGACAACCTGCATCCAGAGAAGACAGATGATGGACGCCATTACTTACGTCCTGCTAGCTACACTCTAAGCAAAGAGGAGAAGGAAATCATGTTTGAATGCTTAAACAACATCAAGGTACCATCTGGATTCTCCTCGAATATAAAGGGTATTATAAATGTGCTAGAGAAGAAATTACAGAACTTAAAGTCCCATGACTGTCATGTTCTCATGACGCAATTACTTCGATTGCATTAAGAGGAATTCTACCTCCAAATGTACGTCTAGCCACCGTGAAGCTATGTGCATTCCTCAATACAATTTCTCGAAGGCAATTGATCCAACCGATCTAGCTAAACTACGTAATGATGTGGTTCAATGTCTCGTCGACTTTGAGTTGGTGTTCCCTCCTTCCTTCTTTGATATTATGACACACCTCCTAGTTCACCTAGTCAAGGAGATTTTCACTCTCGGTCCTGTGTTCCTACACAACATGTTCCCCTTAGAGAGATTCATGGGAGTCTGAAGAAATATGTTCACAACCGTGTTTCGCCTGAAGGAAGCATCGCCAAGGGCTATGGAACGTAAGAGGTCATTGAGTTACGTGTTGACTTTATTCCGACCTTGACTCGATTGGTGTTCTGAATCGAGACATGAGGGGAGACTAAGCGGAAAGGGGACACTAGGGAGGAAAACATATATTGGTACGGATGATGATTATTTCAATAAAGCGCACTAC